ATGTATGAAATTGTTTTTTCCCCTCATCAATCTACACACAATACCCCATAATGACAAAGCAAAAACGTAAATATTACATTTACATAAGTATTCAGACCCTTTACTCAGTACTTTGTTGAAGCATCTTTGGCAGTGATTACAGCCTCGAGTCTTCTTGGGTATGACACTACAAACTTGGCACACCTGTATTTGTGGAGTTTCTCCCATTCTTCTCTGCAGATCCTCTCAAGCTCTGTCAGGTTGGATGGGGAGCGTTGCTGCACAGCTATTTTCAGGTCTCCCCAGAGATGTTCGATTGGGTTCAAGTCCGGGCTCTGGTTGGGCCATTCAAGGACATTCAGAGAATTGTCCTGAAGCCACTCTGGCGTTGTCTTGCCTGTGTGCTTAAGGTCGTTGTCCTGATGGAAGGTGAACCTTCGCCCCAGTCTGAGGTCCTGAGCTCTCTGGAGCAGGTTTTCATCAAGGATCTCTCTGTACTTTGCTCCATTCATCTTTCCCTCGAATCTGCCTAGTCTCCCAGTCCCTGCCACTGAAAAACATCCCCACAGTATGATGCTGCCACCCCCATGCTTCACCATAGAGATGGTGCCAGGTTTCCTCCAGACATGACGCTTGGCATTCAGGCCAAAGAGTTCAATCTTGGTTTCATCAGACCAGAGAATCTTGTTTCTCATGGTCTGAGAGTCCTTTAGGTGCGTTTTGGCAAACTCCATGCGGGCTGTCATGCCTTTTACTGAGGAGTGGCTTCCGTCTGGCCACTTTACCATAAAGGCCTGATTGGTAGAGTGCTGCAGAGATGGTTGTCCTTCTGGAATGTTCTCCCATCTCCACAGAGGAACTCTGGAGCTCTGCCAGAGTGACCATCGGGTTCTTGGTCACCTCCCTGACCAAGGCCCTTCTCTCCCGATTCCTCAGTTTGGCCGGGCGGGCAGCTGTAGGAAGAGTCTTGGTGGTTCCAAACTTCTTCTATTTAAGAATGATGGAGGCCACTGTGTTCTTGAGGACCTTCAATGCTGCAGAAATGTTTTGGTACCCTTCTCCAGATCTATGCCTCGACATAATCCTGTCTCAGAGCTCTACGGACAATTCCTTCGACCTCATGGCTTGGTTTTTGCTCTGACATGCACTGTCAATTGTGGGACCTTATATAGACAGGTGTATGACTTTCCAAATCATGTCCAATCAATTGAATTTACCACAGGTGGACTCCAATCAAGTTGTAGAAACATCTCAAGGATGATCAATGGAAACAGGATGGACCTGAGCTCAATTTCGAGTTTCATAGCAAAGGTCTGAATACCTATGTAAACTATTTCTGTATTTTATTTTTAATAAATTTGCAAAAATGTCTAAAAACCTGTTTTCTCTTTGTCATTATGGGGTATTGTGTGTGGATTGATGAAAAAGTTAATGGGTCTGAATACTTTTCAAATGCACTGTATGTGTCTGTGAATACTGAAGACTGAAGGCATCCCACCACTGTATGTATCTGTGAAGACTGAAGGCATCCCACCACTGTATGTGTCTGTGAAGGCTGAAGGCTCAAGGCACCCCACCACTATATGTATCTGTGAAGACTGAAGTCATCCCACCACTGTATGTGTCTGTGAAGGCTGAAGGCATCCCACCACTGTATGTATCTGTGAAGACTGAAGGCATCCCACCACTGTATGTGTCTCTGTGAAGGCTGAAGGCTGAAGGCAACCCACCACTGTATGCATCTGTGAAGGCTGAAAGCATCCCACCACTGTATGTGCCTGTGAAGGATGAAGGCATCACACCACTGTATATGTCTGTGAAGGCTGAAGGCTGAAGGCTGAAGGCATCCCACCACTGTATGTATATGTGAAGACTAAAGGCATCCCACCACTGTATGTGTCTGTGAAGGCTGAAGGCATCCCACCACTGTATGTATCTGTGAAGGCTGAAGGCATCCCACCACTGTATGTGTCTGTGAAGGCTGAAGGAATCTCACCACTGTATGTATCTGTGAAGGCTGAAGGCATCCCACCACTGTATGTGTCTGTGAAGGCTGAAGGCATCCCACCACTGTATGTATCTGTGAAGACTGAAGGCATCCCACCACTGTATGTGTCTGTGAAGGCTGAAGGCTGAAGGCAACCCACCACTGTATGTATCTGTGAAGGCTGAAAGCATCCCACCACTGTATGTGCCTGTGAAGGATGAAGGCATCACACCACTGTATATGTCTGTGAAGGCTGAAGGCTGAAGGCTGAAGGCATCCCACCATTGTATGTATATGTGAAGACTAAAGGCATCCCACCACTGTATGTGTCTGTGAAGGCTGAAGGCATCCCACCACTGTATGTATCTGTGAAGGCTGAAGGCATCCCACCACTGTATGTGTCTGTGAAGGCTGAAGGAATCTCACCACTGTATGTATCTGTGAAGGCTGAAGGCATCCCACCACTGTATGTGTCTGTGAAGGCTGAAGGCATCCCACCACTGTATGTATCTGTGAAGGCAGAAGGATCCCACCACTGTATGTATATGTGAAGTTTGAAGGCATCCCACCACTGTATGTGTATGTGAAGGCTGAATGCATCCCACCACTGTATGTGTCTGTGAAGGCTGAAGCCATCCCACCACTGTATATGTCTGTGAAGGCTGAAGGCATCCCACCACTGTATGTGTCTGTGAAGGCTGAAGCCATCCCACCACTGTATATGTCTGTGAAGGCTGAAGGCATCCCACCACTGTATGTATATGTGAAGTTTGAAGGCATCCCACCACTGTATGTGTATGTGAAGGCTGAATGCATCCCACCACTGTATGTGTCTGTGAAGGCTGAAGCCATCCCACCACTGTATATGTCTGTGAAGGCTGAAGGCATCCCACCACTGTATGTGTCCTGCCCTTAAGTCAACTACTGCACTGCATTCCTCTCTCACACTGGCTGTGTTGCTTCACACTGGAAACTACCCTGCTATTCCCCAGTGTGTGTGTGTGGGTGTGTGTGTGTGTGTGTGTGTGTGTGTGTGTGTGTGTGTGTGTGTGTGTGTGTGTGTGTGTGTGTGTGTGTGAGAGAGAGAGAGAGTCCCCTGCTATTCCCCAGTGTATGTGTGGTGCAGGATGTGTATGTGTGTGGTACAACGTGTGTGTGTGTGTGTGTGTGTGTGTGTGTGTGTGTTTGTGGGTGTGTGTGTGTGTGTGTGTGTGTGTGTCAGACAACATGGTGGGGGTGCAGTGGAACTCCATTGGCTATGTCCTGTTTGTTTGTTAAACCATGTGGATAAAATGTGTGTGCAGTCTCAGGTGGGAGCCTCTGACCGATTTGAGACGTTCTAGGCTTTTCCTAATGCACAGATCATTCTGATCCTCCTGTGATTCTCTTATCAACATCTGAAGCATGCCTCCATTTGTAAAATTCTCCCGAGTGGCGCAGTGGTCTCTGTGCCACTAGAGATCCTGGTTCGAATCCAGGCTCTGTCGTAGCCGGCCGCGACCGGGAGACCCATGGGGCGGCGCACAATTGGCCCAGGGTAGGGGAGGGAATGGCCGGCAGGGATGTAGCTCAGTTTGGTAGAGCATGGCGTTTGCAACGCCAGGGTTGTGGGTTCGTTTCCCACAGGGGGGCCAGTATAAAAAGAAGAATGTAAAAAAAATAAATAATAATAATAATAACATTGTATGCACTAACTGTAAGTCGCTCTGGATAAGAGCGTCTGCTAAATGACAAAAAATGTAATGTAAAACAATGTGTATGCCTACTGAGGCATGACCTCTTGTCCTAGATATTCATAGCAATGGTAGTGCCAGATGAATTTTCCTTAATAGCTTTGAGAGGAGAAAACAACTATTAATTTACCCCAACAACAACTGCTCCCCGGGCGCCGATGACGTGGATGTCTATTAAGTCTCTGATTCAGAGGGGTTGGGTTAAATGGGGAAGACACATTTCAGTTGAATGCTTTCAGTTGTACAGACTAGGTATCCCCTTTTTCCTTTCCTTTCCACTTACACTACTTAACAAGATTCAAACAGCATCTTAAATACAACCACTTCCCATTCCACTTGCTGATGGACACCTGGCAATGGATAATCTTTATTCTGATCATTAGAAAAATACATATTCTGTCTTCTGTAGTTAGGCCTATGTCAAATCAAAATGGTCAACCTAAACCTGAAATAAAATAAAAGTACGCTTCTTTCTGCATACTAACAACCTGTTACAATAACAGTAAAATAACAAGTAGGAGTGGAGAATGATTTTCATGCAAATCCATGTAGGCTATTGTGCGGTACAGTGAACGCGCCGTCATCGACAGTGCTCAGCATCTTCTGAGAGCGCGCGAGGGAGAGAGGGGGAGAGGCGGGGAGAGGGCGCAAGACAAATAGGGGATGTCACAATAATGGAGTGGCGGCAGAAGAGGTCGGTTTCTGTCAATTGGATGTACATTCTGTCTTCACGGGCTGTGCGCCGATATCTCCAGTAGCCTAGCTCACCTAGCTCAAGAAGCCCTCCACGGATGCCGCAAATGCTACACGCAAACCGGGGATCCACCACTGGCACTAGGCAACGGCTGATCAATTCTGGTGGGCTTGAATGAGAATACTAAAGGACATATTTTGAAGGTAGCATTGGTTGAGGAGATTACAAAACCATTGACCGTTTTACTGTGAAATATCATATTTTGGACTTTTTCAATAAAGGACGATGTTAGGGATTATAAATGATACATTAAAAGTGTATCTATTCATGTCTCTTTTCAACAATGTGTAGCCTTGTATGTTCGCAAGTTGAATGTACAATGTTTTGGTATCTGAAAATAAAGGCTAGTTAATAATAATAACAACAACACTAATAATAATAAGTCAACGTCTTTGCTTTGTAATGGATTTATTCTGAATAGCTACATTGCTACCAAATTACAAACTCACCTTTGGCAACTGGTGGAAACAACCGGAGACGAGCAAAAACTGAGTGCAAAAACTGTGAGTGAGTCATTTAAAGAAACAAAAGAAACAGTGTGGAAAACATGTTGCCTTCACAGGAAGCGGCCAAGATTTACCATGACAACTACATGCGGAACTCTCGCGCCATCGGAGTACTCTGGGCGATATTGACCATATGTTTTGCCATCATCAACGTGGTTGTCTTCATTCAGCCCTACTGGATCGGGGACAGCGTGAGCACACCGCAGGTGGGTTACTTCGGTTTGTTTCACCAGTGCGTTGGGAGTGGACCGCCCAACCGAGAGCTCGACTGCACGGGCAGCTTCACTGAGTTCAGCTCCATCCCCTCCGGTGCCTTCAAAGCGGCCTCGTTCTTCGTACTGCTGTCCATGATTCTGGTTCTTGGCTGCATCGCCTGCATGGCGCTCTTCTTTTTCTGCAACACCGCCAGCGTCTACAAAACCTGTGCCTGGATGCAGCTCCTATGTGGTATGTATAAAACCAATGGAAATTCCGTTACACAATATTGTTCCAGCGCATTTAATCACAGACATTCATGCAGGCACTCATTAATTTAAGGAGATATCATTTCCTGATGATAAACTGCCCCTGCACTTGAATATTTATGAAATTCTCCTTGAACAGTTTTGAAGAGGATTATCGGTATCTGCAGATAAGGTGTAGGCTATGTTTGATTCGTTCATCAATTCGAGTCAGTTAGATAGTGTGGTTGTAGTGCCAAATCTCCAGCTGACCTATTGGATTGTGGGGGATTTGGATTGATGAGATTACAACACATGGAGAGATGGTTCAGTTGATGTTTTTGAAAATTACATTTGGGGATATGATTTTCATTGGTATGTCAACAGATGACTGAACACACATGGATCTGCAACACTGGTTACAAGTTACATGCAAACAACCTTGTCAAAACATGCTGCTTGTGCTGTTGCTATTGCTAAGGATGTTGGGTTGGATCTAGAGGCAGATTAGATTAACCTCGCCACAAAAACATTTTTACTTCACATTTCTACACAGATTCCAGGCTCTGCTGGCTTACTGGCAGTGGAAGTTGTGTCTCTTCATGTAGAATCCGTCTGTGGTACCATTGTCTCTCAGTCATGAGTCATGGAACTGTGGGAGGAAGACCGATATCCTATAGGCTGCCACAATCACCCACATTGAGCTCATGAGATTGCAGATGAAGCATTCATTTGCTCAACAAATCGGTCTCAAAAACAGACAACACACAACAAAATGCCTCCTTGTGTTGGGGTGGATGCATTCCTTCAACCAGGACCTAACCACATAGAGAGCTGCCCTTCTGATAAATAGAAGAAAAGAAACAAAATGAGAGTTCTCATTTTCAGGGATATGAAAATGGGGCGTGTCTATATGGAACTTAATTCACTCACTCCCACTCAGATCTATACCTCCAGGAGCTTCCAGGGCAGTTATAACTTGATCAGTGGGATATGCACCAACGTGTGGGAGTAAGATTACCACAGCAGTCAGCAAACTGAGAGAAGAAAAATATCAGCAGTTTTATTCTGTTTGAATGATCACCAATCAAACAGAGTTTCCATGACATACTCTTTCCTCTTAGGATGCCGGAACACTCACTGTATGCACTCTTACGAAATGAGACAAAAAAAACATCCATGAAGATATCAATGCTGGTATTCACAAAGCAAGTGCACACACCTGGGTCTTTTTATCTGACCATCTCTGTGTTTGCAATTGAGTCCCTTTCCCAATTGCTGATGGATCAACTCCATTTCGGTACAGGGTATAGCCTTGTGATGAGGCTGCCTCTGCTGCCTTGTGTAAAGGTGAAAGGCCTGATGGTGTTGGCTATGAGAGGCCTGATAGAGTTGGCTATGAGAGGCCTGATAGTGTTGGCTATGAGAGGCCTGATGGTGTTGGCTATGAGAGGCCTGATAGTGTTGGCTATGATAGGCCTGATGGTGTTGGCTATGAGAGGCCTGATGGTGTTGGCTATGAGAGGCCTGATAGTGTTGGCTAGGAGAGGCCTGATTGTGTTGGCTAGGAGAGGCCTGATAGTGTTGGCTAGGAGAGGCCTGATAGTGTTGGCAATGAGAGGCCTGGTAGTGTTGGCAATGAGAGGCCTGATAGTGTTGGCTAGGAGAGGCCTGATTGTGTTGGCTAGGAGAGGCCTGATAGTGTTGGCTAGGAGAGGCCTGATAGTGTTGGCAATGAGAGGCCTGGTAGTGTTGGCTATGGGCCTATTGCTCTCTAACTACTGAGGAGATGATAGTTTCATAAGCTGCTGTATCCTGGGCCGTGGCAGAGAGCCGTGGCAGTGTGTGGTGCCAACAGCGTGCCAGAGCTGGGCAGAGGACCAGCTGCTCCTCCCAGTGCCCATGGGGACTACCATCATACCCCATGGTTCTCCTTTCAGTGCCCATGGGGACTACCATCATACCCCATGGTTCTCCTTTCAGTGCCAATGGGGACTACCATCATACCCCATGGTTCTCCTTTCAGTGCCAATGGGGACTATGATAATTTAATATGCCTTTTGGCAGACGCTTTTATCCAAAGCGACTTACAGTCATGTGTGCATAATTTTTTTAAAACGTATGGGTGGTCCCGGGGATCGAACCCACTACCCTGGCGTTACAAGCACCATGCTCTACCAATCGAGCTACAGAGGACCACGAAGATCTAACTTTTAGACTACCATCATACCCCATGGTTCTCCTCTTTAGTCAGGAGAGGTCAATGTTATATGTTGTACTGTTTATACAAAACCGTAAACTGTACTGTTCTCCCATTCTCCCTTTGCAGTTACATCATGGACAGAAAAGTTAGATGACGAGACAGAACATAATGACGCAGCCTTACTCAGTGAGTTGATATGGCATGATCTCTGCACTGCCTGTCTGCTCCACTCTCACTCTCAGAGCAGCGCTTCTAGAACAGCAGAGCTGGCGACCGCTCCCTTAAGCCATTTCACTGGTGCCCTGCAACTGTGTTAGACAGCAGCAGGAGAAATCACACACTCCATTCCAAACACATCGAGAGAGGGATGGAGAGCGTACTGACAGAAATAGAAACAGACAAAGTCACAGGGCCATGCAAGTGTAGTGAAAATAGTGTAGTAGAAATAAAATGTCTACTACAGTACATAACTTACAAGAGGATAGCCTGATTTCTATGGGCCGGTGGTTTCCAACTCTATTCCCCATCTCTCCACTGATGTCCTGACCCTGTCTGTCTAAAATATTCAACAGAACTAAGGGAGGGAACAACCTGGTGTTCTGCTCCACTCTGCTCGGGGTACAACTAGCTATTCCTGTAGCAGCATACCAAATGCCTGTTCAGTTACCTCAGGGTTCTACTACTGTTTCTGGCCTTGAGCAAGGTCCTGAGACTGACATCTAAGGCCAATTCTTTGAGGCAATATTGATGAGTGATGTTGCTGGCAACGGAGTGGGGAATGGGACACTGGAGCAATGAGCACATGGACATGAATGGTATATTTCATATGAAGAAGCACAGATCAATTTCCCCATTTATTTACTCATCTCCTATAGCTTGTTGTTGTCAGTTGACTGACACATCTGTACTGAAATGTATCAGCTAACAAACAAGCAACAAAGAGGTGTTGCCACTGCCCTGGGCATCCACTCAACCTACTGCCAGTCAAGTCAATGGCAACACAGACATAAGGATAACTAGTGTGGCAGACCAGGGGGTTTGATCAAGACGTTTACACAGATCAGACACAAGTGTGATACCTCAGTTTCAAGGTGTTTATTTCAAACAATAAAGAAAACGAAGAGAAACCAGTCTCCTCCAGGAGACCTCTTCCGGGTCACCGCCTTCTGGGCTCCGGGGAATGCTGTCTCCTCTGGGGTAGAACACAGAGCCCCTCGGTTCTAGCAGACCGTGAGAACGTCTGTCCGGTAGCAATCTCTCTACCTCCAACCCTCCCGTGTGCTGCTCTCCTGGCAGCTTTATGGGCCCTGTACGGCTGGTGAGCAATCAGCCCCTTGATTACTCACCACCCTCAATCAGCCCCAATTAGTCCTGGCCGGAGGACCCGTCGAGACCTGGCACGTCCAGCAGAGGGATCCACCGCCGCGTGATATAGACTCCGTCTGTCACCAGGCCTCGACGAGTCTCCCCCTGGTGGCTTGTCTGCGGTACGCCACACTAGATTTAGAAAACATTTTACATCACAAATCTAAGATAGGAAGTATACATGGTATTCATCAAGCTAGCCAGCTAGTTAAACATACAAAAACAATCTAAAACTAAATGTAAAATCTACATGGCTAGCTAGCTAGCGAATTAGCCTGTTTGTCCCATTTACTTAGCATGGGTTGCTGTTAGCATGCTAATCGATTAACATGCGCACCATCATGGATATTTTCAGAAGTTAACCTTTTACTGCAGTGGGCTAAATCAGGGTCACACAGAGTGATTCTTGGTATACTTATAGAAGAGATAAGGCGGGAGCGAAGGACACTGTGTGCTAGCTTAGCCATCTAGTCCTATGGAGGACTCCGGTACACAGCAGGTGGGAGGCGGGGGCGACACCGTGTGCTAGCTAACTAGTCCTATGGAGTCATTAACTAGCGTTCATATAGGAACCAATGGGGTATTCTGCCACTGTGTACTCTCTGTTTAGGGCCAAATAGCATTCTCGTTTGCTCAGTTCTTTTGTTGATTCTTTCCAATGTGTCAAGTAATTCTCTTTTTGTTTTCTCATGATTTGGTTGGGTCTAATTGTGTTGCTGTCCTGGGGCTCTGTGGGGTCTGTTTGTGTTTGTGAACAGAGCCTCAGGACCAGCTTGCTTAGGGGACTCTTCTCCAGGTTCATCTCTCTGTAGGTGATAGCTTTGTTATGGAAGGTTTGGGAATCACTTCCTTTTAGGTGGTTGTTGAATTTAATGGCTCTTTTCTAGATTTAGATAATTAGCGGTTATCGGCCTAATTCTGCTCTGCATGCATTATTTGGTGTTTTACATTGTACACAGAGGATATTTTTGCAGTATTCTGCATGCAAAGTCTCAATTAGCTGTTTGTCCCATTTTGTGAATTCTTGGTTTTGAGCGGACCCCAGACCTCACAACCATAAAGGGCAATGGGTTCTATAACTGATTCAAATATTTTTTGCCAGATCCTAATTGGTATGTCGAATTTTATGTTCCTTTTGATGGCATAGAAGGCCCTTCATGCCTTGTCTTGTGGCGCTGATGTTTAGGCCGAGGTATGTATAGTTTTTTGTGTGCTCTAGGGCAACAGTGTCTAGATGAAATGTGTATGTGTGGTCCTGGCAACTGGACCTTTTTTGGAACACCATAATTGATGTCTTACTGAGATTTTCTGTCAGGGCCCAGGTCTGACAGAATCTGTGCAGAAGATCTAGGTGCTGCTGTAGGCCCTCCTTGGTTGGGGACAGAAGCACCAGATCATCAGCAAACAGTAGACATTTGAGTAGGGTGAGGCTGGGTGCTGCAGACTGTTCTAGTGCCCTCGCCTATTCGTTGATATACACTGCTCAAAAAAATAAAGGGAACACTAAAATAACACATCCTAGATCTGAATGAATGAAATAATCGTATGAAATACTTTTTTCTTTACATAGTTGAATGTGCTGACAGCAAAATCACACAAAAATTATCAATGGAAATCAAATGTATCAACCCATGGAGGTCTGGATTTGGAGTCACCCTCAAAATTAAAGTGGAAAACCACACTACAGGCTGATCCAACTTTGATGTAATGGCCTTAAAACAAGTCAAAATGAGGCTCAGTAGTGTGTGTGGCCTCCACGTGCCTGTATGACCTCCCTACAACGCCTGGGCATGCTCCCGATGAGGTGGCGGATGGTCTCCTGAGGGATCTCCTCCCAGACCTGGACTAAAGCATCCGCCAACTCCTGGACAGTCTGTGGTGCAACTTGGCGTTGGTGGATGGAGCGAGACATGATGTCCCAGATGTGCTCAATTGGATTCAGGTCTGGGGAACGGGCGGGCCAGTCCATAGCATCAATGCCTTCCTCTTGCAGGAACTGCTGACACACTCCAGCCACATGAGGTCTAGCATTGTCTTGCATTAGGAGGAACCCAGGGCCAACCGCACCAGCATATGGTCTCACAAGGGGTCTGAGGATCTCATCTCGGTACCTAATGGCAGTCAGGCTACCTCTGGCGAGCACATGGAGGGCTGTGCGGCCCCCCAAAGAAATGCCACCCCACACCATGACTGACCCACCGCCAAACCGGTCATGCTGGAGGATGTTGCAGGCAGCAGAACGTTCTCCACGGCGTCTCCAGACTCTGTCACGTCTGTCACATGTGCTCAGTGTGAACCTGCTTTCATCTGTGAAGAGCACAGGGTGCCAGTGGCGAATTTGCCAATCTTGGTGTTCTCTGGCAAATGCCAAACGTCCTGCACGGTGTTGGGCTGTAAGCACAACCCCCACCTGTGGACGTCGGGCCCTCATACCACCCTCATGGAGTCTGTTTCTGACCGTTTGAGCAGACACATGCACATTTGTGGCCTGCTGGAGGTCATTTTGCAGGGCTCTGGCAGTGCTCCTCCTGCTCCTCCTTGCACAAAGGCGGAGGTAGCAGTCCTGCTGCTGGGTTGTTGCCCTCCTACGGCCTCCTCCACATCTCCTGATGTACTGGCCTGTCTCCTGGTAGCGCCTCCATGCTTTGGACACTACGCTGACAGACACAGCAAACCTTCTTGCCACAGCTCGCATTGATGTTCCATCCTGGATGAGCTGCACTACCTGAGCCACTTGTGTGGGTTGTAGACTCCGTCTCATGCTACCACTAGAGTGAAAGCACCGCCAGCATTCAAAAGTGACCAAAACATCAGCCAGGAAGCATAGGAACTGAGAAGTGGTCTGTGGTCACCACCTGCAAAACCAGTCCTTTATTGGGGGTGTCTTGCTAATTGCCTATAATTTCCACCTGTTGTCTATTCCATTTGCACAACAGCATGTGACATTTATTGTCAATCAGTGTTGCTTCCTAAGTGGACAGTTTGATTTCACAGAAGTGTGATTGACTTGGAGTTACATTGTGTTGTTTAAGTGTTCCATTTTATTTTTTTTAGCAGTGTATATGTTGAAGAGGGTGGGGCTTAAGCTGCATCCCTATCTCACCCCATGGCCATGTGGAATAAATGTGTGTGTTTTCTGGGTCTCTTAGGTTTTTGCATTCTTCATCAAACCATTTGTCATTGTTGTTAATTTTCTTAGGTTTTCTGCTTGAAAGTTTTTGATTTGATAGGGAAGCTGAGAGGTCAAATATACTGTTTAGGTTTTCTACTGCCAAGTTTACACCTTCACTATTACAGTGAAACGTTTTGTCCAGGAAGTTGTCTAAAAGGGATTGAATTTGTTGTTGCCTAATAGTTTTTTGGTAGGTTTCCACACTACTTTCCTTCCATCTATAGCATTTTTTAATATTATTCAGTTCCTTTGGCTTTGATGCCTCATGATTGAGTATTGCTCTGTTCAAGTAGACTGTGATTTTGCTGTGATCTGATAGGGGTGTCAGTGGGCTGACTGTGAACGCTCTGAGAGACTCTCGGTGATAAGTAGTCTACAGTACTACTGCCAAGAGATGAGCTATAGGTGTACCTACCGTAGGAGTCCCCTCGAAGCCTACCATTGACTATGTACATACCCAGCGTGCGACAGAGCTGCAGGAGTTGTGACCCTTTTTTGTTGGTTATGTTGTCGTAGTTGTGCCTAGAGGGGCATATGGGGGAGGGAATGCTGTCACCTCCAGGTAGGTGTTTGGCCCCCTGTGTGCTGAGTGTGTCAGGTTCTTGTCCAGTTCTGGCATTTAGGTCGCCACAGACTAGTACATGTCCCTGGGCCTGGAAATGATTGATTTCCCCCTCCAGGATGAAGAAGCTGTCTTCATTAAAGTATGGGGATTCTCTCTCTCTCTCTCTTTCTCTGTGTCTGTGTCTTTGTGGTGTTTGATGTGCGTGAGCCACATGTGTGAAGTGTTATATAACAGGAGAGGCAGCTCATTATGATGATCTTGTTCCTGTGGTCCTCTTCAGGGAGACGGCTTCCTCACTTTAATATCCCCATTCGTTCAGTACCAGCAGGGGTGTTTTGTTTCCCCTAGTTCACATGTTCTTCAGTCTCCCTGTGTTACTGTAAAAATGCTCTTTGTTCATCTACTGTAATGTATGCTGTGTGTGTGTGTGTGAAAAAAGATGTGCTGCATTTTGTGTGTGTGTGCGAGCATCCGTGTATAGGTATGTGTGTGTGTGTAAGTTCATGCACGGGAGTGTTTTCCATAAGCTTGCAGAAGGAGGTGTTGTAAGAGTTACTTTACATAGAAATAAAGGGGAGAGTTTATGGGATTACATTTACATTTATGGGATTACATTACAGAGTCATTTAGCAGACGCTCTTATCCAGAGCAATTTACAGTGCCTTCAGAAAGTATTCATACCCCTCTACACACAATACCCCATAATGACAAAGTGAAAACATGTTTTTTGAAATGTTTGCACATTTATTGAAAATGAAATACAGAAATATCTCATTTACATACTGTAAGTATTCACACCGCTGAGTCAATACATGTTAGAATCACCTTTGGCAGCGATTACAGCTGTGAGTCTTTCTGGTAGGCCGGGGAGGCCAGGGGCCAGGGAGACTGGGGAGGCCAGCAGGCCATGGAGGCCTGGGGGAGCTGGGGAGGCCAGGGGCCAGGGAGGCTGGGGAGGCCAGCAGGCCATAGAGCCTGGGGGGGCTGGGAAGGCCAAGGGCCAGGGAGGCTGGGGAGGCCAGCAGGCCATGGAGGCTGGGGGGGGTGGGGAGGCCAGGGGCCAGGGAGGCTGGTGAGGCTAGGGAGGGATCTAGTACACACTGCTAAGTGTTACTCACTAGTGAACCAACCCTCAGGGGAAGCTTTACAGGGCTGACCAAGGAGGAGAAAGACAATTCCTATAGAACAGAGCCCCAAAAACACACCAAGCCCTAGAAACCCACCGTCCTAGTAACACACCAAGCCCTAGAAACACACCAAGCCCTAGAAACACACCAAGCCCCAAAAACACACCAAGCCCTAGAAACACACCAAGCCCTAGAAACACACCAAGCTCTAGAAACACACCAAGCTCTAGAAACACACCAAGCCTATAAAACACACCAAACCCTAGTAACACCCCAAGCCCCAAAAACACCCCAAGCCCCAAAAACACACCAAGCCCTAGAAACACACCAAGCCCAAGTAACACACCAAGCCCTAGAAACACACCAAGCCCTAGAAACACACCAAGCCCCAAGAACACACCAAGCTCCAAGAACACACCAAGCCCTAGAAACACACAAGCCCTAGAAACACACCAACCCTAGAAAACACCAAGCCCAAAAACACCAAGCCCTAGAAACACACAAACTCTAGAAACACACAAGCTCTAGAAACACACCAAGCCTATAAAACACACCAAACCCTAGTAACACCCAAGCCCCAAAACACCCCAAGCCCCAAAAAACCCAAGCCTAGAAACACCCAAGCCCAGTACACCCAAGCCCTAGAAACACACCAAGCCCTAGAAACACCAAGCCCTAGAAACACACCAGCCTAGAAACACACCAAGCCCTAGAAACACACCAAACCCCAAGACACACCAGCCCAGAACACACCAAGCCTAGAAACACACCAAGCCCTAGAAACACACAAGCCCTAGAAACACACCAAGCCCTAGAAACACACAGCCTAGAACACACCAAGCCCTAGAACACACCAAGCCCTGAACACACCAAGCCCTAGAAACACACCAGCCCAAATCACACCAAGCCCATACAGAAAACACCACCAAGCCCCTAGAAACTCACCAAGCCCTAGAAGAAACACACCAAGCCCTTCAAACACACCAAGACCCTGAGAAACACACCAAGCCCTACGGAAACACACCAAGCCCTCGATAGAAACACACCCAAGCCCTAGAAACACACCAAGCCCTCGAAACACACCAAGCCCTCTAGAAAAACACAAACCTCCTAGAAGAACACACACCAAGGCCCTAGAAACACCACCAAGCCCCAAAAAAACACACCAAGCCCTAGAAACACACCAAGCCCTAGAAACACACCAAGCCCCAAGAACACACCAGCATCAGAGAAAAAGGGTATAGTTTCACTTCAATGACATGCTCTCTACAGGCCCTCAGGCAACAAATGACTGTTATCCAAACATGTTGGGGAAAGAAGAGCCCTTGAGGATGCACACTGGGAGAGGGGAGGGGGTGGACATTAGCACATTTAGTACAAGAAGCAAAGTTATTATTAGAGAGTGTCAGGCTTGTGTCTTTTCATTTCTCTGTCTGTGTGTCTGTCTGTCTGTCTGTCTGTCTGTCTGTCTGTCTGTCTGTCTGTCTGTCTGTCTGTCTGTCTGTATGTCTGGGAAGCCGTGTGTTTGGTAGTAATGGGAAGCCTTGTGTTTGGTAATGATGGGAAGCCTTGTGTTTGGTAATGATGGGAAGCCTTGTGTTTGGTAATGATGGAAAGCCTTGTGCTTGGTAATGATGGGAGGCCGTATGTTTGGTAATGATGGGAAGCCTTGTGTTTGGTAATGATGGGAGGCTGTGTGTTTGGTAATGATGGGAGGCCGTGTGTTTGGTAATGATGGGAGGCCGTGTGTTTGGTAATGATGGGAGGCTGTGTGTTTGGTAATGATGGGAGGCCGTGTGTTTGGTAATGATGGGAGGCTGTGTGTTTGGTAATGATGGGAGGCTGTGTGTTTGGCTCTGCTCAGCAGTATTGTGCATATGGGAGGCCGTCTTACAGGCTCATTACTGTGACATCAGCAGAGAGATTGGAGTGAGCTCAGCAGTGGAAGCAGCAGCAGCAAGGCAGGGGCAGGAGAATGAGAGAGCGGTGGGGACTCCGAGAGACACAGCAAGGCAGGGGGCAGGAGAATGAGAGAGGGGTGGGGACTCCGAGAGACACAGCAAGGCAGGGGGCAGGAGAATGAGAGAGGGGTGGCGACTCAGAGAGACACAGCAAGGCAGGGGGCAGGAGAATGAGAGAGAGGTGGGGACTCCGAGAGACACAGCAAGGCAGGGGGCAGGAGAATGAGAGAGGGGTGGCGACTCAGAGAGACACAGCAAGGCAGGGGGCAGGAGAATGAGAGAGAGGTGGGGACTCCGAGAGACACAGAGGCCCAGAGCTGAAACATAAGAAGCAGTAGGAACATCAGCAGAAAATACCTTGTTCCACCCCACTAACTCCCTGAGAGACAGGCACAGGGATCTTACTTACTCTCTCACTCAAGGAATAGTGACTCATGACTTCGTAATGTCAAGGCTAATGTCTCCTTTTCTGACGACTCATCCTGAATTTATCCTGAATCCGCTGCTCTATCCATTGTTGCATGCATTCAGTCTGCATCTGTTTTCCTAGAAGTCGTTTGCGTGACATCAAAATTACGGGCGTTGTACAAAACAAATTAATCAGCGATTGGATTGTCTCTAACAAATCTAACCAATCAGAGTATCGAAGCTGATAACGTCATCGGTTTCTGGGACCAATCAGAGTGGTCAGAATGTGTTTGCATTCTAGAAGTCGTCGGGGATGGAGGCAAATCCAGAATCATGGTGGAGAAGAAAGCCTAGTGGGCGTGGCATTTGGCCGGAGCGATGTGGATGGTTAACCAGGCATGTCTCCACCATGTCTCCACCATGTCTCCTCTAAAACATTATTGCAATTACGGTTGCATTTTGTTATCCAACAATGCCTATACTGTATTTGTACTTGCTGTGACTGGCCTTTTGATTTCAATATAAAATACAGTTTAACTTACCTTAATTTGAATCATGCATCCATGTTTTCCGTGGACTACAGCTTCCAACGTCCTCTCTGTCTTCTCTCTCCCCCAGCTGTATGCCTGGTTTTGGGCTGTATAATCTTTCCGGACGGCTGGGATGCGGAGGTGGTGCGGGACCTGTGTGGGGAGGAGACGGGGAAGTATACCCTGGGTAAATGCTCTGTCCGCTGGGCTTACATGCTGGCTATTATGGGCATCCTGGACGCCCTGATCCTCTCCTTCCTGGCTTTCGTTCTGGGGAACAGACAAAATGACATGTTCCTGGACGAACTCAAGGCTGACAACAGTAAAGGTGAGGGATGGATTAGACCAAGTCTGCATCTGAAATGGCACCATTTTCTCTATACATTGGGTTCTGGTCAAAAGTAGTGCTCTCAGGAATAGGGTGTCATTTCGGACACACAAGTATTCACTAAAACCCATCTGTAATTAATCAACACTAGATGCATGTTGATTTCCAAAGACAGATACATTTTCCTCTATATAGACAAGAGATAGATTGCATAACCTGCACCCGTAGTTGACATGTTTTCGGAATGATAAAATAGGACATCTGGTATTGTAATTCAGTTAGTGTACCCTATTGCGCTCATCATGGAACTGCATGAAAGAGGGTAGGAATTTTCACCAAAGTCTAATTCTCACTGTTTGCACAGGATTGCATCAGACTGTTCTGTTCATATTGACTGATCAGAACAGGGAGATGTTCATTCAGGGGACTTTTGAAGAGACTGATGTCGAAACATTGTTAGAAGTCTTCTAACTCATTCTCACATAAATTTAATAGACTCCTCATGAAGTTGTCAACTGTCAGATCAGAGGATTACATCGTTTGGTAGGAAAATAGGATTTCTTTATACTGTACACTCTATAGTGGTTTCCATGGTTACTCACCAGATTCCAGTGGGATATAGCCTACTCTGCCCTGTCTCTCTCACCGCTCATCTGATTAACCTTGAACTAACTCACAGATAGAGATTATACCATGTGTAATATCTTGATTTCTGTACAATTAATTACATCCTGCATACAACAATATTTGACTTTGTTCTTGCAGATTTCGCTGTGTCCAGGGTAAGTGACTTTGTAAGTGAGCAGTTAACAGTGTCATGGCTTTGTGCACCTTGGTCTGTGTTCGTTGTGTAGGGCTGATGTGTAGTGTTGTTGAGGCATCCATGGCAGTGTTTGTCTCTATGGATCAGTGTGTTAGTCCCGTTACTCCCATCTTGTACAATATATGTTTGTCAGAATAAGCTCCATGCACTGTCTTGTTGTTTATTGTAAAATGTTTCTATGTAATGTGTATTATTTCAATATCCTTACATGATGTGCTGCTGGGATACTTTTTTCTTGCCTTTAGATTGAGGTCCAGGACAGAAGAAGCGACCCAAGGTATGTTGCAGTCCAGAGGTTCCACTGAGGAGATCCTTGCCTTGGATGACCGCCCTCTGAGCGGATCCTTGCCTTGGATGACCGCCCTCTGAGCGGATCCTTGCCTTGGATGACCGCCCTCTGAGCGGATCCTTGCCTTGGATGACCGCCCTCTGAGCGGATCCTTGCCTTGGATGACCGCCCTCTGAGCGGATCCTTGCCTTGGATGACCGCCCTCTGAGCGGATCCTTGCCTTGGATGACCCCCCTCTTAGAGGATCCTTGCCTTGGATGACCCCCCTCTTAGAGGATTCTTGCCTTGGATGACCCCCCTCTTAGAGGATCCTTGCCTTGGATGACCCTCCTCTGAGGGGATCCTTGCCTTGGATGACCCCCCTCTCCTCTACTCCCTCTCATCCAGTTATCAGGCTAATATCCAACCCGGCTCAATGCTCAGACCACATGTACAGCATTCTGTAATATAAAACTGGGATAAACTATATTTTACATAGTATGATGTTGTAAAGTGCATTAACACTACTTTCAAAAAAGGACAATATTTGTAAATAAAATGTGTCCAAACGGAACTATACTTTTCAGCTTTACAGAAATAGACCTCTCTGGGAATCTAGATACTGTACATACAAAGCAATGTATATATTTGTAACGGTACAATGAGCAGCAGACAATATCACCCTTCAATGGAAATGTTGTTCAGTGTATTTCTACCCTCTGCATAACGATTTGGGTACGAAAAGTAGAATAAAGCAGAACAAAACAAATATTTTGTAAACATTTAATAGACCCCATAAAACTGAAGCTCTTTTTAAAGTTATTTACTGTCAAGCAATTAAAAGTAGAGAATCATTTCTGAAATGATTAAACTGAAACAGGGTAAACTAAAGAAATGATTCACTTGAACTGAAACAGGGTAGCCTAAAGAAATGATTAATCTGAAACAGGGTAGACTAAATAAATGATTAATCTGAAACAGGGTAGACTAAAGAAACGATTCACCTGAAACAGGGTAGACTAAATACAGTGAGGGAAAAAAGTATTTGATCCCCTGCTGATTTTGTACGTTTGCCCACTGACAAAGACATGATCAGTCTATAATTTTAATGGTAGGTTTATTTGAACAGTGAGAGACAGAATAACAACAAAAACATCCAGAAAAACGCATGTCAAAAATGTTATAAATTGATTTGCATTTTAATGAGGGAAATAAGTATTTGACCCCTCTGCAAAACATGACTTAGTACTTGGTGGCAAAACCCTTGTTGGCAATCACAGATGTCAGACGTTTCTTGTAGTTGCTCACCAGGTTTGCACACATCTCAGGAGGGATTTGGTTCCACTCCCCTTTGCAGATATTCTCCAAGTCATTAAGGTTTCGAGGCTGATGTTTGGCAACTCGAACCTTCAGCTCCCTCCACAGATTTTCTATGGGATTAAGGTCTGGAGACTGGCTAGGCCACTCCAGGACCTTAATGTGCTTCTTCTTGAGCCACTCTTTTGTTGCCTTGGCCATGTGTTTTGGGTCATTGTCATGCTGGAATACCCATCCACGACCCATTTTCAATGCCCTGGCTGAGGGAAGGAGGTTCTCACCCAAGATTTGACGGTACATGGCCCCGTCCATTGTCCCTTTGATGCGGTGAAGTTGTCCTGTCCCCTTAGCAGAAAAACACCCCCAAAGCATAATGTTTCTACCTCCATGTTTGACGGTGGGGATGTTGTTCTTGGGGTCATAGGCAGCAATCCTCCTCCTCCAAACATGGCGAGTTGAGTTGATGCCAAAGAGCTCCATTTTGGTCTCATCTGACCACAACACTTTCACCCAGTTCTCCTCTGAATCATTCAGATGTTCATTGGCAAACTTCAGACGGGCATGTATATGTGCTTTCTTGAACAGAGGGACCTTGAGGGCGCTGCAGGATTTCAGTCCTTCACGGCGTAGTGTGTTACCAATTGTTTTCTTGGTGACTATGGTCCCAGCTGCCTTGAGATCTTTGACAAGATCCTCCCGTGTAGTTCTGGGCTGATTCCTCACCGTTCTCATGATCATTGCAACTCCATGAGGTGAGATCTTGCATGCAGCCCCAGGCCGAGGGAGATTGACAGTTCTTTTGTGTTTCTTCCATTTGCGAATAATCGCACCAACTGTTGTCACCTTCTCACCAAGCTGCTTGGCGATGGTCTTGTAGCCCATTCCAGCCTTGTGTAGGTCTACAATCTTGTCTTGGCCATGGTGGAGAGTTTGGAATCTGATTGATTGATTGCTTCTGTGGACAGGTGGCTTTTATACAGGTAACAAACTGAGATTAGGAGCACTCCCTTTAAGAGTGTGCTCCTAATCTCAGCTCGTTACCTGTATAAAAGACACCTGGGAGCCAGAAATCTTTCTGATTGAGAAGGGGTCAAATACTTATTTCCCTCATTAAAATGCAAATCAATTCATAACATTTTTGACATGCGTTTTTCTGGATTTTTTTGTTGTTATTCTGTCTCTCACTGTTCAAATAAACCTACCATTAAAATTATAGACTGATCATTTCTTTGTCAGTGGGCAAACGTACAAAATCAACAGGGGATCAAATACTTTTTTCCCTCACTGTACATGATTAACCTGAAACAGGGTAGACACATTTTTTTATCCTGAAACAGGGTGACTAAAGAAACAGGGTAGACTAAATAAATGATTCACCTGAAACAGGGTAGACTAAATAAATGATTCACCTGAAACAGGGTAGACTAAATAAATGATTCACCTAAAACAGGGTAGACTAAAGAAATGATTCACCTGAAACAGGGTAGACTAAAGAAATGATTCACCTGAAACAGGGTAGACTAAAGAAATGATTCACCTGAAACAGGGTAGACTAAAAAAATTATCTGGTACACTAGATACAGTAGATGACAGGAAAACATATTTGTGATACTAGTCCTCTCAGAAGGAAGCCCTGTATGCTGCATTCCCCTCAGGTCCCTCAGCACTGAGACACTGGGGCCAAAGGTCAAGTCACCACACCATCCTAACAGACCTTCTACTGCACATTGCAGTGACCAACACACTCTGGGCCTGTGTGGATTTAACCTGATAACCCCACAATGGGGAAAGTATACTGGGAAAAATGTAGAGGCAGAATTTCTACCAACTTTTAAAAATATATCAAACGGCATCTAGTGTACTACTTCTTGTCCACAATCCTTGCTACATTGTACAGAGTTATTGTAAATTGAGAAGCTAAATACCTATGTTATTAGGTGGCAGCCAATTCTCAGGAAGCTGTACTGTAGGGGACAGTGGGGTATGTCATGTCAAAGGGTTAGTTGAGCCACCCCTTGTTTCTAGGAAACCATACACAAAATAAATCATGTTACTAAATATGTAGGAAGTCTGTGAAGGAAGAAACCACATGGAAAAAAATGGTAAGCAAGTTAGGTAAAAAACTAACAGATTTTCACAAAGTCAAGTAAATGTATTGTCTTACAGGTTTCATGATGCTTGTATCTAAACCAAAGTAGATCATATTAACACTGTTTTATACATCAGTTGGGGGCTATATAAGCTACAATATGAGGTCCTAAACCTAGCATGAAAGTGCATCCTTGTAGCGATGTGAGCTAATAAAGTAAAAATGGTTGCTTTGGGGTAAATTGTGGCATTTTACCAGGGGCAAGTTGAGCCAATGGCTAATCAATATACCCCATACAAATGATGATTACATTTGGTATGTTTTACGCATAATATGCATAGTATTTTGAAGACACTTCATATTTATGTGATTCTCAAATGATGAAAAATGCCTTCCCCAGTTGGGTTCGCCCCCCTCTAGGCCACAATTGAAGTGTTTTCTTCTCAGGCATAATGCAAGGCATATGAGGTTACACCAGGGCCTGAGCCTATGTTAAAAGTGCTTTAAAAAGTAACAAGTGTTGTACCAAGAAATGTGTCCCTATGCTAACCCTGTCCCCGTGCTCCATTTACCCTATACCCATGCTCTATTTACCCTATACCCATGCTCTATTTACTCTATACCCATGCTCCATTTACCCTATACCCATGCTCCATTTACCCTATACCCATGCTCTATTTACCCTATACCCATGCTCTATTTACCCTATACCCATGCTCTATTTACCCTATACCCATGCTCCATTTACCCTATACCATGCTGCATTTACCCCTATACCCATGCTCTATTTACCTATACCCATGCTCTATTTACCTTACCCTATACCCATGCTGCTATTGACCCTATACCCATGCTCCATTTACCCTATACCCATGCTCTATTTACCCTATACCCATGCTCTATTTACCCTATACCCATGCTCCATTTACCCTATACCCATGCCCTATTTACCCTATACCCATGCTCTATTTACCCTATACCCATGCTCCATTTACCCTATACCCATGCTCCATTTACCCTATACCCATGCTCTATTTACCCTATACCATGTTCCATTTACCCTATACCCATGCTCCATTTACCCTATACCCATGCTCCAATTTACCCTATACCCATGCTCCATTTACCCTATACCCATGCTCTATTTACCCTATACCCATGCTCCATTTACCCTATACCCATGCTCCATTTACCCTTACCATGCATTACCCATACCATGCTCCATTTACCCTATACCCATGCTCCATTTACCCTATACCCATGCTCCATTTACCCTATACCCATGCTCCATTTACCCTATACCCATGCTCCATTTACCCTATACCCATGCTCTATTTACCCTATACCCATGCTCTATTTACCCTATACCCATGCTCCATTTACCCTATACCCATGCTCCATTTACCCTATACCCATGCTCCATTTACCCTATACCCATGCTCCATTTACCCTATACCCATGCTCCATTTACCCTATACCCATGCTCCATTTACCCTATACCCATGCTCCATTTACCCTATACCCATGCCCTATTTACCCTATACCCATGCTCTATTTACCCTATACCCGTGCTCTATATACATTTACATTTATGTTTACGTCATTTAGCAGACGCTCTTATCCAGAGCGACTTACAAATTGGTGCATTCACCCTATAGCCAGTGGGTTAACCACTTTACAATAAACACATTTTTTTATTCAAATTATTATTATTATTATTTAAAAAAAAATGGGGGGGGGGGGGGGGGGGGGGGGGGTAGAAGGATTACTTTATCCTATATCCCAGGTATTGATTGATTGCTTCTGTGGACAGGTGTCTTTTATACAGGTAACGAGCTGAGATTAGGAGCGCACTCTTAAAGGGAGTGCTCCTAATCTCAGCTTGTTACCTGTATAAAAGACACCTGTCCACAGAAGCAATCAATCAATCAGATTCCAAACTCTCCACCATGGCCAAGACCAAAGAGCTCTCCAGGGATGTCAGGGACAAGATTGTAGACCTACCTACACAAGGCTGGAATGGGCTACAAGACCATCGCCAAGCAGCTTGGTGAGAAGGTG